GTATGTATTGTATGCTCATATGGTCATATGTTATATATCCGTGTAAATTGTGTATATAGAAATATCGTGGTTGCGTATGTGTGAGAAGAACTTAAAAGGGCGCCAAGATAGTTGCAACAAAACAGGAACTATCATCCTTTCTCTCCCCCTGACCCACCCTTTCCCCCTACTCTACAGATAAAGGAATTACAAGAGTACGAATACAAATAAAAGCAGGAACGTCATGCCGGTGCGATAAAAGGAATTTGAATTTCCTGAAACGTGAGAATGATGATAATAAACCGTAATAATAATATTAACCAATCGTAGAAAAGAAACACATGTGTTCTTATTTTTGTCATTTACTTTCTATTCGTGTTTTTTTATTCTTTTCTTTTTTTTTCTTTTTTTTTTTTTTTAATTTCTCTTTTATTCGTTGGTTGCACAAAATTAAATGAATCAATCGTTAATAGGATTAACTGTATTTGACATTATATTTTTGTATATTTCTTTTTTTAATCGTAATTAATGTTTTTATTTAATTATTTGAAACAACAACAATAACAACAAGCAACAGCAAAAAAACATTTTAAATATATTAATTAATCATTGTATCGTAAAAATTAAAAAAAAAAAAAAATCTCATTGTATAAACGATTTTTGTTAAACATATCTGTGATCATTTTAAAGAACCTATTGCGAATAAATACGTGAACTGATTTATTTCACATTATTATTTGAAAAAAAAAAAAAAAAAAAAAACAGAAAGTAAACAACACTTGGTAAAAAATCTCAAAGATGAATCATCCTATTACACATTCTTTTTTCTTTTTTTTTTTATTTCTTTTGATTAAATTAATAAAAAAGAATCAATTGTGTGTGGTTAACATAAAATCAGAATGTATTTTCATAGCTCACGTATAAAAACGCTAAATGGTTCACAAATTATTCTCGTTCAAACAATATCGATCTACCTTACGAAATCATCATTCAATATATATATATATATATATAAACCTGTATATACCTGTATATACATCTACCTTTGTATCGATAACGAGCGAATCGAAAAGGGTGATGATCGTGTTGTTATTTTATTTACTTATACACAAACACACACACACACACTTTTTAATGTATCAATATAAACACATACACACATATTCCATTAAAAGTGGGCCTTATTATTGGTAGATGTAAAAATGGTATAGGGATCCCAGTAGAAGATGGGGGTGGGGTTAGGATTGGGAGAAGGGGAAGAAGAAGGATTGGAAAGGACCGGAACCGGTCCTCGATCTTTCTCCCTCTCTCTCTCTCTCTTTTGAAACCAGGTGCCCAATCGTGGATTGAAAAGTAATGTCTTCTAACTGAATGGTCTGACCACCGTACTCGTTTCACTCGACTAAAATCAATCACTCTGGTTAAAGCAGAACAATTCGACGAGGTCTTTCCACTTCTAGATTTACCGCACGAACATCTCAAACCCCTCCCCCAAGTCTCCCCTTCATCCCCCTCATTCCCCCATACCTCTGACGTTTCCTACGGAGCATCTTTGAACGAGCTTAACATCTTATAGATAAATATCTCTACCTTGTCTAACTCGTTCCTCTACCATTCTCCTTCTGGTTGGATTACTTTTTTTTGCTCCTCTTTTTGTATATATATATTGGTTTTATGTTTTTTTTCTGTTTTTTTTTTTTTTTTTATGTGTTTTACTTTTCATACTCTTCCTACTGATGATTATTAGCTTTTACACGATCGTAGATAGTTGTCGTCATTTGTAGAACAATTTTGTAAAATCAATTATAAATAAAATATGTAATATTAGGTTGGCAAGAAAGTAATTTCGGTTTTCTAATGTGAAATATTACTTTCTTACCAATCCAATAATATTATATGTATATACACATATTATATAATATTTAATATATTATTTTATAATATTATAATATTATTATTATAATAATTAATAATAAAATAATATAAATATATTATATAATTATTATATTATTTTATAATATAATATATATAATATATAAATTAAATATAATAATAATATTATTATAATATTTAATATATTATTTTATAATATTATAATATTATTATTATAATAATTAATAATAAAATAATATAAATATATTATAATTATTATTATATATGTATATATATATATATATATATTTACTTACTACCTAAATTACTTTTATGCCAACCCAATATATTAGGTAGACCGTAAAAGTAATGACATTTTCTAATCTCAAATTCAAACGAATACATTTTTTTCTAACAAGTTTTTATTTTTAATCAATTAATGTAATTTCCACCATCCCTCGTTATCAACAAACTTTTTCAGTTTTTTTTTTTCAATTATCGATCAGTTTTTGATAAAAATATAAAAAATTCGACATTAGTAGAAACGCCATTACTTTTGGGTCCTCCTAATATGTTCGTGTATACTAAACGATATTTGTGATTGGTTTTATGTCAGTTTTGTATGGGAACTTTTATGGATTTTTCTATTGTTATTGTTATATTGAAATATAAAGATGGCTGATAGTTTCGATTGAACGAATGGGTTGATGTCTGCCTGAAGGTACGTTTTAACGAAGTAAGAACAAATATGAAGTGGTGTGTTATTATCTGGATCACCGTTAAATTTTACTATGTATGCTAACAGCTGTACCTTTTTACTGTTTCCTTTCTTTTCCCCCTTTTCTTTTCTTTTTATCCTATGTCTGTTCAGCTCAAATAACGGACCCAAAGTTTGCAACAGTAAAATAGATTTTATTTTATTTTATGATAAAATATTGGAAATAAAATAAAAATTATGCAAATATTTAAATATATATATATGATTTGTGCAATTAGAACAAAACTTTTGAACACGTTCAAAAAAAAAAAACAAAAAATGATTTAAAAAAAAAAAAAAAAGAAAAAGACCCGAAAACAAATGCGCGAGACGTTCGGTAATGTCGAATAAAAATGGGGGATGCTGTTAAAGAGAGAAAAGATAAGAGAAAGAAATAAAAAGAAAATAACATCGTCGTCGTCGTCGTCGTCGTCGTCGTCGTCGTCGTCGTCGTCGTTGTAGTCGTTGAAAGTGGGCCCTACGGCTAAGAACTTCGTGGAATTCGCTTTGAGCGAACGTAATTAACCGAAGGAATAATATCTAACGTTAAGGCCCCCGTTGTCGGACGACATCGCGAATAAAACCGGTCTTCTGTTCTTACCCAGGTGCTTTGAGATTTCGATCGATCGATAAATCCGATCGATTCGAACGAGATCGAAACGATTCGTCGATTTATCGAATCGAATTTATTCGATGAAAAAATACGACAAATTTTTTTTTCTCTTTTTATATACGATAATTTTATTCATTTAATATTTATTCACGTAAAACAATATTTAACAAATAATTATTATTTTTAAATTAATATACATATACAATATCTATATTTTAGTATTAATATATATATATATTAATAATACAATAATACAATATTTATATTATCATTATTTTATATACTATATGATTAGATATATAATATAATATAATATAATTAAATATATTATATTATTTATATATTTTATTATAATTTTATATTATAATTATTAATTTTTATTATATATTTTATTATAATATATTATTATAAAATATATATATAATATTT